TCACAAATTCTGACTTTATATAATAAGTTAAAGTTCAAGTACAAATAAGTGGATTGTTGCGGAACTTATGGGTGGACCTCTGCAGGACGAGCGCAGCGAGTTCCGCAGCCATCTACTCACTAATATACTGTTGAACTATTCAAATAAGATACTCACCTGAACGTGTACTTTTTAAATTAATGAGAATAAGGTTAGTCAGGTTAGTATCATAATTAAATAACATATTGATGTATAGATTCCAGAAATAAAATCGTGTTAAGCAATTCGGGGTGATTTATCAATTTCTCAATTTTTCTGAGTTTCTTTTTTAATAGAATCCTGCCCCAAATCTTGGAATAACTTAGTGTATGGAATTCGGGTGATCCCAATGTAGTAAGGTTTTAATTTAAATTTTGGAAAACTTTGAAAGGTCATAACTTTTTTCTATTAGAAATAGATAGCTGAATTTTTCAGCGATTCTTATCTCAATAGAGGACTACAATTCCTGAAAATTTCAGCTCATTTAGACTTATAGTTCCAGAACTAAAATCGTGATAAACAATTTGGGGTAGATTTATCAATTTTTCAATTTTCTGAGTGCCTTTCTTCATAGAATTCTATTAGTTATTAATAACCACATTATCTTTCCATAAGTAGCAACATTTTCAATTTTTTAATATTATAGGTACAGGGTGATTGAAATTCGTTGTTTTCCATAGTCCATTTGGTCCTGAGATCCCAATGGAGAACATCGAATTTGAATCACCCTGTATATTTTCCCTATTTCAGTTGTTCGATTTTATATTTTATGGTAAAATTCTAGCGTCTTCGTGCAATGAAATTGTGTGACAAGATTTTTCCATTTTTTTTTACTCTGTTTGCGTCACTCTCTTGCTTACTGGATTGGATAGACACAACAATTAAAAGTCCACTCAAGCGCCAGGAATAATCAAAATTCGTGTCACAATTTTTGTATCCTACTGTATCCCTGTCTCTTTTTCAATTAATGAATATATTATATTTGTACTCTATTATTCAAGGCTTGAATACAAAAAAAAAAACCTAAAAAGCTTCTCAAGACGCTGTGAATAGTAGGTAAAGGTTTGTGTCACAATTTTTATTTTCCTGCTTTATTTCTATCTCCCTCTTATTCATTGATTTTCTTATATTATTGTCTCTTACTTCATTATTCCAAGATATTGATGATGCGCCGAGAATATTCAAAATTCGAGTCACAATTTTTGTATCTCACTTTATCCCCGTCTCTTTTTCAATCAATGAATATCTTATATTTGTAGTCTTTATATTCAAGGCTTGAATACAAAAAAAAAAAACCTAAAAAGCTACCTACTCAAGACGCTGGGAATAGTAGGTAAAATTTTGTGTCACAATTTTCATTTCTGTAATGTTTAGTTGAATTGAACTAATATTAAATTAGCAGCAATCAACTGTTGGTTGCGTACTTGGCACGCCTCTTATTAAAGAAAAAAGGTAATAGGGAAAAAGCTAAACCTAAGATCATTACCATAACAAAAATGGTAACATAAACGAAAATAGAAGAGTAAAAGTTTCCAGTCACGAATACCACTTTGAATCAAGACTTTTTCATTTAGATGTAAATTAGGCAGTTTTTTCGCATGTTGGTCATGGTGCAATTTTTGTTGTTTTTGCCGGTACTCCAATTTTTCCTTAATGCCTTTTGTCGACCACTGCCATTCATTTTTAGCACTTAAGAGTTTTCTTAACGGTCCCGTCTCTTGCGAAAGATTAGGGATAAACTTTGCAACATAAGTAATCATACCCAAAAACCGTTGCAAGTCTTTCTTATTTTCTGACAGTTTCATGTTTTCTATTGCTCGAGTTTTATTATTATCCGGAGAAACCCCACTTTTACTTATTATGTGTTCAAGAAATTTAACTGTTTTTTGACAAAATATTGATTTTTCTTTTTCTAAATTTAAAGTTAGTCCACTTTTTGCTATTTTGGTTAGAACATTGTCTAAATTTTGATTGTGCTCTTCCAATAAAGAACCAAAAACGAGAATATCATCAACATATTTTATAACCCCACTAACATCCTCCAAAGTCTCATAAAGGAATCGTTGAAAAGTTTCGGGCGCCGAACAAATACCGTATGGTAAACGAACGTAACGGTATCTGCCCCAAGACGTAGCTATCGTGCACATTTTGGAACTATCACAGTCTAATGGTATTTGTAAAAAGGCTTGAGAAGCATCAAGTAAAATTCTTTGCATTATGAAGTTCACCAAACAGAGAGTCAATAGTAGGAATACCTACCTATGAAAGTTCTCGCGCTTTATATACGCGTTCAATGCTCTAGGGTCCATGCAAATTCTAATATCACCATTAGACTTTGGCACTATAACAATTGGGTGCACCCAGCTTGTTGGTTCTTTAATAGGTACAATAAGTTTTTCACTTACTATTTGATGCAGCTTTTGTTTTACCTTATCTTGTGTGCAGCACATACACTTGGCCAATCATAAAACTGGTACGCATTTTCCTATCGTGTTTTTTTGTGTAAATCGACCTTTTTTATCACGTCAACAATGACAAAAAGAGTCAAGTCAGTGTCATATTTAAACCAATCATAACATAAAAACATGTTGCATTTACCTTTGTTCAGCTTTGGCGTTGACAAAAACTGTCTGAGCTAAGTTTTTCAAAAGAGACTTTTTGTTTTTAAGCCTGACTTACATTACAACACACAACTTTTCCAATTCCACTGAAAATACTGCTATGTTTGTCAAGAATTTGTTTCAAATTTCCTAGTTTGAATACTTCATTCGGGAAGGTTATTTCACAAGTGTTATTTACAATTTTCAAAAGTTTGGCAGCCTCTAACCCTAGGATCGAAAAAGCTGATTGACCACTGTTTGATACATGAAACGATAGGTCTGATGACTGTTTGGCGAAATCACAGAGCAAATTTATTTCGCCCAAAGTATCTATCTTGTGTCCCGTATATGACAGCAAAAGAGATGAAGTCTTTGAAATGTCACTAAGTTTTATTTGTTAAAATGTTAACTTGGCTTCCAGTATCAAGAGAGTGTTCAATAGTTAAGGTTTCAAACCATTCTAAAGCATTTATATTATGGTTTATTACAGTTCAAACCACGTAATCACAAACTGAGAAATTAGATTTTTCACTGTCTGAGTCTGTGTCGTAAGTATCACTTTCTACATCGCCTACATCGACTTGATACTTTCTGCTACAGAATTTCCGATAATGGCCTTTACTTTGACATTTTGAGCAGACACGGTTATATGCTGGACATTGTCTTTTTGCATGCCCTGATCCACACTTGGAACACGTTTTGGTCCTGAAATCTTTTTCATAGTTAGATGGACCAGCTCTTTCTTGAGACTGCTGAGCATACCCAAGTGTTGATGGTTTGTAATATTGACCTTCAGATTTTCCTGACCCTTGTTTATACTTCCTGAATTTCACAGCGTGGACAGTTTGATCTTGAAAAATTACTTTTTGAGTAGCTACACTAGCTGAAATTTTATGTTTTTAGTAGTATTCTTTGGTAGTAGATAGAAATGCGTTAAAAGTATGCTGAACATCAGAATAAATGATTTATGTACTTGTTACGTAAAATGATTATTACATACCTACATTATAAGTTCAAAACAAATCCGATATTATGATAAATGCGAATATCAGTCGACATTAGCCATCAGGACAGGAGGAAATTTGCGATTTCTTCCGCGCCCACATTTATCATATTTTTCTTGAATAAAATCCACATAAATCAACCGGATGATTATCGACCACATTATTTGGCCCTTCTCTAACTTCCTCCTTTATTTTTTTATTTTTTTTGCTCTTTTAATGGTGTGGCGAGAATTTATAAATCACTGCAATTGACAATAAATATTGCTTCACACACACAAAAGTTGATTTTCTTAAATGGAATAATAATTGGCTCAATTATGCACCAGTGACTGGTTTTATTTACGTAGTTGTGCCTAATTAAACGTATGAACAAAAGAGGTTGCCACATATTTTTATTTTTTTTTTCGGTGACAAAATCAATCACACCAATTAAGGAATTAATAATTGCAATTAAATTGTGCACAAATATTTAACGGTTGACGTTGGAATCTTAGATTTATTATGTTGCGTGGTGTAATGTATTAATGCTATTATAAACCGTGGCAGAATGTTGGTTTTTTCAATTTTACGTAAAGTTGTCTTTATACGTAGTTAGACATCATCAAAAGTGAAAGTTTAATATTATTGCACTAGTTGAATAATTATTGCAGGAATTTGTTATTCAAAAAATGATAAGCTTTGGCAACAGAGTACCTATACTCTCAAACCAGTTTTTTTTTTTTTTTTAATTCATACAAATGTGAATAATCATAACTCACAAACTGCCAAATTTTCATTATTACTAAGATCAATATTTAACTCACAAAACTTCCAAACGTGTCAACGTTGCCAACGCTTGCGTCGGTATTCTGCGCAGCTGATTGCCGTCGATACGTAAACTGCGCAGATTCGGCAACGATTTCAGCGCATCGGTTTCCAGGTGTCCTAGGGCGTTGTTGCCAACTTGTCTGCGGCGTCGATGAATGAAATGAAATATGAAAATGAAAAATTATATACAAAATAGACCAATCGAAATAACTCATTTGATTGGACTAAAAATGAACAAAAACATATTAGCACTGGTGAATTTATGATTAAAAATTAGTTACTGTATTCAAAGCCAAAAAAAACTTATATTTAGGTAAAAGATATTTCATAGCTTTCTCCTATATATAGAGAACATATAAAGGGAAATCATAGTGGCTATATCTCTTACTGAGAAGAGGGTAAAATTTATCATTCGAGTTCTCTTTGTTAAGAAAGATCTATGTTAAGGAGGTTCATCTTACTATTGTTGATTTATGGCGGCCTTTTTCCGTCTGGAAAAAAGTCACAACAAATCAGTTTCGTCATGCGGAAAAATAAAATTTAGAGCCTGTGTGGTCCAAAAAATACTTACAGTGTTTGCAGTTTTACTAAGGGTATCAGTGCTTCGGATGGAATATGCTTGAGGGCGCAGTTTTGTAAAATCCTGAAATCAAATAAAATAGAAATTGATATATTTACGACTATATAGCAGTATTCAGCTTGTTATCGCATAAACCACGTAGCGACGTCAATAAACCTTTAAAGTGTACAAGAACCGAACGACAGGTTTGAGAAATGACATAAACATGGATTGCCAGATAAGAACGCAAAACCCCATTTTCGAGTCTTTATTTATCTTTTTTCCACTATTTGCGGAGTGGAAGAAAAATGACGCGAAGCTTATAATGCAAAATATCCTTTCGGACAATAGTTAGATAAATTCTGCTAGGTATGAATAATGCATCAATTGCTTTCTGGAACTACTAAGAAATACCACTACTTGTTATTGAAATTGCTAAGGGATTTTTTTAAAAGCTAATGCAGGAAAATTCGAACAATAATATAGCATTTTTCCATTAAAGCTTTGTATGGTTGGAGACTTTTATTGGTTCAGAATAGAATTAGATATTGAGAAAAATTGAAATCATAGGCTTAGGACTTATTTTCTCACGTTTAAACTACACATATATTTCCCTTATGACCTGCTAACTGGACTCTTTTTTGATTTATAGTGGTTAATGTTGTAAATTGCCTGCAAATCGTCGAAATTGCTTTGAGCCATTTATCAGCGACTTGCTTGATTATACTTCAGGAGTTAGTCTTTTGGTGTTTTGTTTAAACTGGAGTTTTCTCGAAATCATCATGAATTATTCAATGAATGAAGATTTAATTTCATGTAAAATTTAATTAAAAGTCTTGCTTGGTAGTAAACAAGAATTTAATCCTATGAAATGTTATTTTAATTTTATGTAGTACCCAGTCAATTTCATGAGCTGAGTGATCGATATACAAAATTAATCGATCCTAAAAGAAATTTTTGTGGTTTTTGACTCTTTGATCGATTTTGGTGAAGGAAACAAGTCATGCAAGATATTTAACTAATCTTTCTATGAACATCTTGATAGAATTTTGAATTTTTTGTGAAATTTGTTCTATTTAAACCCCACTGCAGCCTTCTTCAATTTCGGATCGTTTCAACCATTATCTTTATTTTCATCTTTCATAAGAATTCTTGTCATATAGATTCTTATTTGAAACATCTACTGTGATAATTTCATAGTCCAAAGTTTCAACCTTTATGCATCCCATGAGTATTGGTAGACTTTTAAGAAATAGAGAAGTAGGAGTGTATAAAACCTCAAGAAAAGGTTGGAATTGAATTTACTAATTATCTTAGTGCAAACGAATTTTTAACTAATAAAATCTTATTAGAGGAAAATCTTAATGCATATATTCCAGCTAGCCTAGTCACTTGCATAGGAATAGCCAGAGGCATTTTTACAAAGGTTTATCAGAAGAGGAAATAGTCGAGAATATAAAATCTGATGCAAATTTTGTGGAGGCCAGAAGACTAAAAAAGAAAATACCTAAATGAAAATGGTGATAATATCTATGTAAACATTGAATCAGTGGTGTTCACATTTCAAGAGAAAGTGAATCCAAGGTCAGTAAACCTAGATTTCTGTGATGTAATAATCTGTCTATAAGTCCAGTATTGATGTGTTTCACATATTGCCGAGGCAAACAAAGATGTCCGATATGTAGGGAACAGCACGAAGAAAAGGACTGAGAACAAATCACACCTAATTATTATGGAACATAAAACCACTGACAGACAATGCAAGAAGCACCTGAGACAAAAAGCAATCAAAATTACAACGATAACAGAAAACATTTTCTATTTAGAAGCAAGGAGTAAACACCCGAAAGGAGATGCAAGTATAGGACAGAGAGGGAACCTTGGATCATAGGGACTTTCCAGTTCTGAATCCCACAAGAAGAGCTTCAGAAGCCAGTAGACCGATTGAAGTGAATCAGAGACATTTATACATATTGTTATTTTTATGGGTTCGCAGATAAGTGAGACTACTTTTTCGAACTTTAACGAATTTTATTAAACACAATAACATAAAAATCACACGAAATTTAACACTATTTTACACTCCGAACTACTCCAAATAAAGCTTATACAGCATGAATATTTTCGAACGTGGTTATTTAGTTCCTGACTTTACAGTTTACTGCACTTGTCGTACGTCAATCAGAATTGATCCTTATGCGGTGCGCACCGGGGCTTTTAAGTTATGTGAACTTACTCGAATATATCACAGACGTTGCTTTTTGCTGCTGTCTTTATTGCACACGCACTGTGTTTATCAAACCAATATAGGTCCGAACGTGTGAATTCCATTGTTACAAGAATGAGTAAGTGACCTTCAACGTTCAATTTTGGTTAGAGAGAGTTTAGTTAGTACGTGGTAGAGGCTCTTAAAATTTGTGGAGTTTGAGAAACCCCACCTCACCAGTTTCGGGTTAAAATTGAGCAGCCATTGCAATGCAGAATGGTCAGTTCTAACTAGGAACTTCCGGCCATAAAGAAAGCTATGGTAATGTTCAATAGATCTTACTACTGCCAGAAGCTCCTTTCGAGTGACACAATAATTCTTCTCTGCCTTTCCAGTGGACTTACTGAAGTATCCAATTACTACTTCTTCGCCTTTTTGAATTTGGGAAAGAACAGCCCCTATTCCACTTTGCGAAGCGTTGGTGTCTAACATAAATAGACGTTTATCCCTTTATGGAGCACTAGTCAATTTATTTTTCAGCTCCACGAAAGACCGTTGATATTCAGGTATCCAATCAAAACGAGCGTTCTTTTCAGTTAGTTCATGTAAAGGTTTTGCAATCTTCCCAAAATCCTTGACAAATCGGCGGTAGTAACTGCAGAGTGCCAGGAAGCTTGTAACTTCATGTTTATTCTTTGGTCTGGGCCAATCTCGCACAACTTGGACTTTATCTGGATCTGTCTCAATTCCTTTTGATGAGACGACATGGCCAAGGAAGTTTACTTTTTCCAAGAATAGAGAATAGGACACACTTCTTGGGATTGAGTGGCAGATTGGTACTTCGAATCCTGGCAAAAACTTCCTTCAAATTCGACAGGTGTTCGTCGAAATCTTTGCCAATCACCATGACATCATCCAGATATACCATGCATTTTTCCCAAGTCACTCCTCTCAAAACTAACTCCATCAAGTCTTTCAAAAGTGGCAGGTGCATTGCATAATCCAAAGGGCATGACGTTAAATTGATATAGGCCATTTTCTGCAGTAAATGCGGTTTTCTCTTTATTGAGTTCCACCTGCCAATATCCACTTTTCAAGTCCAGGGTGTTAAGGGTATCGTCAATCCGGGATAATGGATAGCTGTCTTTCTTCGTAACGTCATTCAACTTTCTATAATCCACACAAAACCTGGTAGAACTATCCTTTTTCGTATCAGATTCTTCTATGATGTTGTCTTTCTCTATGATGCATTTCCTTAAGCATGGTGTTAACTTGCTGCTGCTTTGCGAAAGGGAGTCTTCGTAGTGGTTGACGAATGGGTGTAGCCCTTTCTGTGTTGATGCGATGATCCAACAAATTAGTTCGTCCAGTAATTTTATCTTCCACAAAAGCACCAGCCTCTTTCTGTACAAAATCAGCAGGTGTATATCTGCCAATGACGTCTCATTTCTTCAATGTCACACGGTTTGTTGTTAGATTGTCCACTCTCACTGGAAAAACATTGGTGGATTTCACTAAGCAATATGCCACAAGTTTTCCATTCTGCATGTTTCCTGTTGGTTCCACGATCATGGTGTTCACGCCTTCTAGCTGTTTTTCTAGGTGTGTATCTTCATCAACGATTATTCTAATTTGACAGTCCTTATTTGAGGGTAATGAGAAGAGTATTTCTTCGTTGCTCACCCTCAATATTTTATTTTTAAAGTCCACTGATAGGAAATCAAAGGTTTCTAGGACATCCACTTCCAATATAAATTCAACCACTATGTTAGCAACTATCACTTCTACCTTAAGTTTGGTGCTGCCTATTTCCAATGTCACGGTGGTATTTCCAAAAACATTTATCAAATCTCCTTTAGCTGTTTCTAGCAGTGGTTTATTTCTCAACATCATTATAGAGTTCTTAGAAACCTTGTCGAGGCGAACCACTGATCTTGATGCCCCTGTGTCGATTGTCAAATCACATTTCTTGCCATTGGGCAACAAGATTTTCACAATTCTTCTTGATGGAGAATACCCTTACTTTGGGGGCTCGAGAATCGGTGGTCGCCAGCATTCGTCCCCTTACACTGGCTAGGTGGCGTTTTCCTGATGATGTCTGGAGCCACTTTCTTCCTCCGCTCCACGATCTTCTGAGCGAGAACGTCGCCTACAGTTTCTGCTAATATGTCCTTCTCGGCCACAGTTGTAGCATTTGATTTGTTTACTGGCTCTTGGTTCTTGGTCTAACTTCGCGCAGAACTCCTGAAACAGCGCCTCCAGTTTTAGCAACATATCTGGGTCTGAGTTTGGGCGATCCTCTGCTATCTTCACTTCCCTGATTTTGCTGCTTCGATTTAAAGAAGCATTTTTGACAGCTTCATATTCCAATGCATGGATAACGTGTCAACATGCGTACTCATTCTCAGTGCTTGTTGCAGGTCTGTATCTTTTAGTCCATCGATAAAGTACTTGACATTTATCTGTTCCATGGAGTCTTCACGAGCTAGAGAATATACCAATCTCACCATTCTCTCGATGTCGCTACTAAATTTCTGCAGTGTCTCAGATGGACTCTGCTTTTGAGTTGACTCTGGTAGACTTGACTGAGATACCTGTTTCCGTACCGCAGCTCTAAGGCTCCTACAACAGCTGCATAATCACTTTGTTTTGCCTCGGGAATATTTTGAAGAATTTCAAGCGCCTTTCCTCGTAGTGCAAGTACGAATGATGACAATGATGTTGCTTTTTGCTGGTCATCCCATCCATTTCCACTAGCAGCGGCCTCAAACTGTCGTTTATACATGGACCATGATGTTTAGCCGTCAGAAATTGGTGGCTTGAGTTGGCCCTCAATAATACATCCATTTTGCTGGAACTTTCGTTGATATTGGGTTCT